ACCACACTGCGGACACGTAACTGACTGACGCAGCACGCTAACACGCGCCCGTGTGACTACACCTGTAGCTAGGTGAGCAGTATATACGAGAGGGTAAGGTCGTTCGTTGGCCCCCTATTCGCAGACGGATGGATGGAAAGCGTGGTGTGTGCCTAAAGGCGATCTGCGGAGAAGTCCCTCGAGGAATCCCAGGAGCGCAGCCTGCCCGAAACGCCCTCGAGGTTTCCACTGAGAACTGTTTTCACATCCGCAAGAGTGATGATTATCTGCGGTTGCATGTGCGAGAAGCAGCAGTCAATGGCCGCTGTTTTCACTTGCCGCTCCTACGGTTTCCGAGGCAGGGTGCTGATCCAAACTGGGACTTCTTTTCTACTTAGCTCTGGACGTAATTGCAGTCAGATTCATCCAGCTAAAAGCAGTAAGATGCATTTAGGAAAGTGCTACTCTAGTGTATGTGATTGCAGTCAGATTCATCCAGCTAAAAGCAGTAAGATGCATTTAGGAAAGTGCTACTGCAGTGTATGCTCTCAGAAACCTCGACAACAGCNATGTGATTGCAGTCAGATTCATCCAGCTAAAAGCAGTAAGATGCATTTAGGAAAGTGCTACTGCAGTGTATGCTCTCAGAAACCTCGACAACAGCATTCTAGAAGCCTCATGTCCTTACAGCACTCCGGACTTTTTTTTCCTACTTAGCTCTGGATGTGATTGCAGTCAGATTCATCCAGCTAAAAGCAGTCAGCTGCATTTAGGAAAGTGCTACTGTAGTGTATGCTCTCAGAAACCTTGACAACAGCATTCTTGAAGCCTCATGTCCTTAGGGCACTCCAGGAGCCTCATGTGCTTTCTTTTTCTTAGGAGCCTCATTCCTTATTAACTGTACACGCACACACACGGAAAAAAGAAAAAAAAAAAATCAACAACACGACGCCAACATCGCTGTTAACTGCGACACTTTAAGTTCGTCAGGGAAGACCAGAATATGGAGTATTGAATCCAGCATTAGACATGCAGTACCAAACATGACCACAAACGCCTCTCGCTGTAAGCGAAGCTGAATAATGCTCAGAGTATCCGGGTCGAAGTGTGAGGTCCCCGGCCTCTTTGTTTTTTTTCCCTTCTTTTTTTCTTTTTTAAAGCTGTCTTCTCTACGTCGGGGGACAGCTATATATGAATTGAGCAATAAAGTTAATTTCATTCAATATGAATTGAGTAAAATAGTTAATTTCATTTATAATTAAAAAAAAGGAACAAAAAACCACTTACCACTTTCAATACAAAGCTCCAGCTCATCTTTCTCGTTGCCATGTAAACAGGCCCGGAAAGCCTTCTCCAAAAGCGGCAGGAATACCGTGTACACTCTCTTCCCATGAGCGGCCGTCTCGTCAACCTGGCCAGCGCCAAAAGCACCTCCACCAGCCAGCAGCTCAGACAACGAGTCGCTACTGCCAGTGCGAYTACCGAGGGCACTCTCCTCCGTCTCCGGTCCCTCGACTAATAAAAACTGAGTTTCCACTGGCACGTCCTTCCCCCGCGAACCCACTCCCTGGGCCATCCACCACAGCTTGAAACGAAAACAGCACACAAACCGAAGATCCCTGCGAGCATAAACCAACGTCCAACATTGTAAGGGCTGTCTCTTATACACATCTAGATGTGTATAAGAGACAGCCGAAGATCCCTGCGAGCATAAACCAACGTCCAACATTGTAAGGGAATCCCCGGCTAGAATTCATCACCGCGGCTATCCACAGCCCCCAAGGATAGATACGCTCATGAAATCCCAACATACACTCGGGCAAGTCTCGCCTCTTGCACGTAAGTCAGCATAGAACTGATCACACGCAAGAGAGAAAGAGAGAGGGAGGGGGAGAGAGGTTTACAATATCTGTGGGAAATATGGGGACATAGCAATATAGCCATACAGAGAATCGATTGCCGCCATCATCAGAATGATGGTATACAGCCAGCCAGGTTCAACTTAACATGGTCGATAGCGGTAAGCAAGATATGCGTTGAAAACACAACGATGAGGGACAAATCTTCGCCAAGCCTCAGGCGATCGCATAAGAACTAGGGACCGCAGAAGAACTAGAGATGATCGGGTAAAATAACAGCGTTAAAAATTGTACAACAAATGACCGAAAGCGATGACGAAAACTAAATCGTTCATCAAGTTTCATACGTTCCACTCTGTCGGCTGCACAACACGGAAAGAGACCGAAAGCCAACTTAAAGAGATCGAGATCGAGATCGGGATCGTCATCCCATATGGAGCCAGATACAGCAAAAGGACAAAGGGATTACCGAAACTAAATCGTTCGACAAGTTCAATACATTCCACTGTCGGCTGAACAACACAAAGAAAAATCGAAAGCCAACTATTCCACTGTCGGCTGCACAACAGAAAAAAGGATCGAAAGCCAACTTGACGAGATTGAGATCGTCATCCCATATGGACTCAGCCAGATACTGCATATTTACAAGTAACACCGTAACCGAGAACTACATATGCCAGCTCGCAACTGTGGCAACGGACAAAAAAACGATCGATCTTATAAAAGATGTAGTTCCTACTATTTTCCAAGGATTTGATAACGATCGTTATTTTTGCAGCCAGCCATGTTTCGTATCGCTAGCATATTATCGTTAGTACATCCTGACCCGCTGTCAGCAGATTCACACATTATACGTAATATGCTATTCGCAACTGTGGCAACGGACAACAAAACTAGAGGTCCGTAAAAAATAAAAAAATAAAAATAAAAATAAAATAAAAATAAAAAACTAGAGGTCCGTGCTTTTTCAAGGATTTGATAACGCTCGTCAATTTTGCGGTCCTGTTTTTGATCGAGAGCTTATTATCATTAGCCGAATTTGATAACAATCGTTAACTTTGCAGTCGTGTTTTTCTTATCGAGAGCTCATTATCATTAGTAAATCCTGCCCCGCTGTTTGCAGGTTTCCAATTGTCCACCAAGAACTTGATTACATGACTGTCCTATTTTTTTCCTTGCAAATTAGTATAAGCGACCGTCTCACCGGCGATAGAAATTTCTCTACAGGCACGTCCCATAGAAATATCAGAAGGCCACGTCATCATCGCCCTCATCCATCTGTCCAGCCATCCATTTAGCTAACCAGGCAATTGACCTGGAATTGAAACTGTCTGCCCCCTATAGAAATT